TTTGCACGTGGTGCTCAAGTACGACCTCGTGAAAGTTTCAGGGGGGAGGGGGGAGAGGGAATGAGGGGATAATTACTAGCTCGGAAATCAGAAAAGCTAAAATTTTGAGGGAATCTTTCCCATCCAAGTACAACTCGGAAGTTTTCAAATTTAGCCCCAGTTACGCGTGGTACTCAAGCACAGTCCCGTGAAAATTTTTGTCGGGTAAATTGCTAACTCGAGAACCAGGAAAGCTGGAATTTTAACATTATGTTCCCTTTTCATGTGCAACATGATAGTTGTACAGTTAATTTTCTGAAGCTTGGGAACAGCATTTCACAAATTCTGCCTATTGTGATTTCAGGCGATCTTACTATAGCACAAAATACTGCAAAAACGCATGCTCGCACGGGCTCGCCTGGTGCACATCGCCAGTGATTTATTAAAGCCAACATTGAGATGTAAAAAAATCAGCATTTTGGATTGATTTCACGCACTAAAAAAGATCTTTTTGTTAAAAGAGATGCAAAATGAACATTTGCGATACTCTCACACCGATCCAGTTTTTACATCCTGTGTACTCAAAATTTTTAACCTTCATTCCGAAATTTTCACTTCTAGATTGTGTGAGTCTAGGAGTAGAGGGAAGGGAAAAGAGGAAGACAAACTTGTTTACTGAGCTGACAGCCTGAAGATTTCCGCACAAAGTTGTCACAGAAATATCGTTGATGTTACTAAATATGAGTTAGCTGCCACACCGAAAACGAGACGCGGGACCACTGAACATATAAACACGCTGCTTCTCTTTTTGGATAATTATTAGTAGGAAGTCTTTAACGTCTGAATTTTTTGACCATAATTCAAATGGCAACGTTATCTGAGCAGCCCATAGGCACTTTGCGTAGCTATTCGTGGTGAAGCAGGGTCTAAACCGGATGAAATGCAGCGCAGAAAATTCCCGTTTTTCAAACTTCTAACATTTTTTGGCAACACATAGTACCCCATAGACAGATGGATAGATGAAATATCAAAAGATTAATTGGAAGGTTGCATCAGTTAGGTGAAATGTATTTGAGGCTTCCAATGGACTTGTGTTGTTGTTCATTTTAAATTTTTAAACGGATACTTGAATGGACACTTTAGCCATGTGAACAAGCGCACGCAGTACGAGCGACCTTCGTACGCGGCGTATCTGAAGAACAACGAGCCGGCGGCTACGACGCAGTCGTATCCATGCGCTGTCGGCAGTAGCGGCGGGAAGCCGAATACTGGAAACTTTCAGCGACATTCTGCGCTCTCGAACAGCAATGCATCATCATCACACCCCACGAACAGTGCCGTTGTCACTTTTACAAGGTGAGTTTGTGATTATAGCAAACGTTCTTCCCCTTAGTGGTGAGTAATTGACCTGGAAGCAGATGCTCTGTGGCCACATTGGTAATTTTCTTCTGTTTTGCAGAGATCCTTCGCAACTCCAAGGTGAGCTGCTAACAACAAGGATCATCAAAGGACCCAAAGGGTTGGGCTTCACACTAATTGGCAACGATGGCAGCTCGCTGCAAGACGAATTCCTCCAGGTTTCATTGTGTCTGTATTTTCAGATGTTATCTAAAACCTGTCAGCTATTCAGCAGATGATTTTATTTGATCTGCGTATCATCTATCATGGCGCTTTCTTATATTACATTGGTTTGGATGACGGAACAGTGAAGTTGGCTTTGTTTTACAGATTAAGAATGTGATTCCTGGTGGGCCAGCACATCGCGACGGTATTCTGCAAATGGGTGACATCCTTGTGTTTGTCAATAATGACTGTGTTTTGGGCGCAACTCAGGCACAAGCCTGCCAAATATTCCAGTCGATTGGCGTCGGTGAACTGGTTACACTACAGATCTGCCGTGGCTATCCATTACTTTTTGACCCGAAAAATAAGGTTCCTT